CTCTGTTTCATTCAGTTATTTTCGGTCAATGTTTGATGTTAGCCTGTGTGGTGCCCGTATTCCTGTCTTCCAGCCTGTGTTTGTATATTAAAAGTAATCTTTGCTGATATTCCAGACTCCTCGTCCTCTGCCTGAACCACACCCTGACAGCAGGAAGTGTTTTAGTGTGCATTAGATTCCTAATGTATTTGTTTGGACATTTTTTGGTGGTGATGTCAATGTCACCAAGGAAAATTTCTTGTGTAGACAAAATTACTGCCACTTACACCAGTTGAGTTATATTTTAAAATCTGAATAATATTTGGCACAGCATCAAAAACGATAGCATATTCCCTAGGGGAGACAGGAAAGACACTGTGTGGCTTCTGGTGTTTGCTTTTGAAAGACACTCGTCGTATGTTAGTAACTGTCCTTCTGTGTTCATGAGTTGTGCAACTAATAGAATGTTGTTATCAACCCATCTTTGGAAATTTATAGATTTACTTTTATATTGAATATTGCTGCTGTTCCAAATATAACAGTTCGTGGGAGAAAAATTATGTTTGTAGACCATTTTCCTAACAGGGCATGCTTGTGAAAGTTGGCTAACTTCACGGGTAACTTCTCAACTTTAAAATCACATTTCAACAAGAAGCTTAATCCTCCTAGTGAATCAAAAATTTATTTGGGAAAGGTGTTCCAGGTCTCTGCTTCCTTAATTAAATTATTTAGCCATCTAACCAAAAATGAATTACTTAAGGTTTCAAAGGTCAAAACTTCAAGACCACCATCTTTCCTTAGATTACATAAAATATCTTTACGTAAATAATGGGATCTATTCTTCCAAATAAAATTAAATAAGATCTTATCAAGTTTTTTATATACAAGCTGGCATTCCCATGGATAAAGATAGATAGACGGCACGTGATATCCCTTCTGCCTTAGACAATAAAACTCTGCCATTCAATGACAAATCCCTCATCAACCATATATCAAATCTTTTCCTTATTTTCTGTACTATGGGGTCAAAATTGAGATTGCAACGCCTTTTTTCATTTTTATCAATGTTAACCCCCAAGTATGTTATTGTATTTTTAACAGGAATAGCCTACCACTTATTTCTGATAAGTCACATTCTTTTAGTGATAACAAGGCGGATTTATTTAGATTCATTCTTTAACCAGAGACTTCAGAGAATTTTGTAATAGAATCAATTGCTTTGATAACCTCATGCTTATTACGGAGAAATAATGCCGTATCATCCGCTAACTGTGTCAATATACCTTGGAACTGGGCATTTTTAATATATCTGGCCATTATTTGTGTAACAAGAAGAAAAAGAAAAGGGCTAAGTGGACAACCTTGTCGTATTCCACGACCGATCTCAAATCTAGGAGTTGTGCCATGTCGTTTCGTGTTTATTCTCATACATCTAGTTCCACTAAGGCTCACAAATCAGTTTTTTTATAACAGTAAATAGTTATAAACCCTAACCCTAACCCTAACCTAACCTAACCCTAACCCTAACCCTAACCCTAACCCTAACCTTTTCATGTAGTCGCGATGTTATATTGTATCATGTTTATCATATTATCAAAATAAAACTGATTAAAAAACGTTGACTCCACGTCATTGAATTGGCTTATTTTGAACTTTATTCTAGTTCAAACAGATACCGTATGAAGCAGTAACCTTTTGAATGAAAATGTGTATGAAATATTTGTTTATTTGGCAAATGTTGGATTTATTTCACTTAAGCTGTGGTAAAGCCAGAGCCCGTCTAACGGAGAGCCTTGGCACTTCCTATTAGCCCCGTTGTGTATCATCTTGGTTGCAGTTCCATTAGAATTCCACTGGGGGTGATCGCGGGCGAGAGCAGAATGAATGGGAGTCTATGGGGCTAAACGGCTAAAAGTGTCTCTTTCACCTGCTTGTCGTTAAATCAAAATAGATTTTATTGTTGATTCTGCAAGTTCAATATAGATTATAGGCCAAAAGTCGAATGAACGAGTACTTATGTCCGTTTGATTTCTTACAGGTTAGGCCGTTGTTGGCCGGAGCACGCTAGCATTCTGCTATTGTGTGACGTCATCACATTTTGAACGGATTTTTAGAACAGATAAGTGAACTTAAAAATGCAATTTCAGCTGAGTGTATTTTCTTAACCCTCCCTTTTGAATGCAACTTTCAAATTACTTGACAAAAAATTACATCCTGAGAAACGTGGATTTTTTGGGATGAAACCCCATTGACTCCCATTCATTCTGCACTCGACCGCGAGCGCCCCCGCATGGACAGAGACGTGTTACTGCAGCCAGTCCAGAACCCGGAAGTAACCAGCCAGTGCGTGAGCGGTCACTACGGGAACCAGAAATTGTCCGACTTCACGTCCCCGTTTGCAGCTCCTCCCCGCCTGCACCCGGCTAATCTCGCCTATCGGTTGCATCCTGTCGAACACGAACACGCCTAAAGTCTTACACTGACTGAACACACACACAAGTCCAGCATCCTGAAGGATACTTCTCCATAAACACTGCACTGGATAATAGCCTACTACATTTCCTCTCATCACAGGTGATATTTTCAACATGATTTTAAAATATTAATGCGTGTTTAGGGCAAAAAAATAATTTAACTATACTCTACTGAGGAACTTTGTCATTACACATTTCGATTATGGATTTGATCACTGATTATTTGAACTTTTAATGAAATACTTGAATTGCTGTTGTGTCACTCCAAAGAAGAGATTAAATGAGTAAACGCATGAAGACAGGAGAGAGAGATGGAAACACACACCAGTGGGAATGTAAACCTCGTCAGACGGAGGAGCTTGGATGATTTAAGACCGAACTGTGAGTAAAACAGACACAGTTCAAACACTGGATCTTCTGATCATTAATAATCAATATTAATACTCAAAAGATAGTTAGCTGACATGTAGTTGCAAAGTTAAGACTATAAGTGTAAATGTGAATTGCTTTCATTTAACATCATTTCATGGTATTATTCTGAATAATTAAACCCATCTAAAATCAATATTGATCTTTCATTATCAATGCATGTATGAAAGACTTTAACTCTTGTGCATTGTTCAAATTCACTACCCTTTCGTTATGTTCGTGGCTGAAAAAAAGCCACTTCTTTAAACTGCTGTAAAATGTATCAGATAAATATTTTTTTCAATTTTTTTTTGCATTAATCTATTAACCGACCTCAGTCCTGATCAAAACTACTAAATGTTTAAAAAAAATTCAGGATTTTAACTCTTTAATTGCCAAATTCATAAATGATGTCACTGATTTGGGGGAAAAAATACACAAAATGACTTATTTTCAATATAAAATATGATTGTGGACTGGATTTTTTTTACCTTTTATCACAGTCTTGGACATGTCAAAGATTAGAAACAACATTGGTTTTGATGCATTGTTAGTTTTTTTGCAGCATCAGATTTTAACTTTTTCTCCCTCATTTACTGTTCGTGGCTGTTTTTGCCCCATTGACTTCCATTATAACCACATTTTTTGATTGCAAAGCCATGACACCATAAAATCATGCATTTTTGATTGTTGATGGTTTTCCCTGTTGGGAAGAGGTAAAATTTGTCATGTTTACTGTTGGTAACCAGGTGGAACCATTAACCCTTTAGACAGGCCTGTGCAAAAAAAAGCTTAGTTTCTGGCTTTTACATGGAGTTATATGGAGTATAATAGCATATTACAGTGTGTGTGTGTGTGTGTGTGTGTGTGTGTGTGTGTGTGTGTGTGTGTGTGTGTGTGTGAGAGAGTGTGAGAACTCACCTTGATGCGTCTGAGAAAATAAAAATATACACTTCAGCTCTCAAAACTACATGGAGTAAACAAAAACAAAGTAAGTGTATGCATCTGCTGCCTTTTGATGGTGAGAAATGCAGACTAAACAAAAACAAAAAATCCAAAAAAAAAAAAATCCAGTCCACAATCATATTTTATATTGAAAATAAGTCATTTTGTGTATTTTTTTCCCCAAATCAGTGACATCATTTATGAATTTGGCAATTAAAGAGTTAAAATCCTGAATTTTTTTAAAAAACATTTAGTAGTTTTGATCAGGACTGAGGTCGGTTAATAGATTTATGCAAAAAAAATTGAAAAAAATATTTATCTGATACATTTTTACAGCAGTTTAAAGAAGTGGCTTTTTTCAGCCACGAACATAACGAAAGGGTAGTGAATTTGCCCAGAGTGTACTGTTGAGTTTTTGAAAAATTTCACAAAATATGTGTCAAAATAAGATTTGTCACCAAAAATCATTCCATTTGCTGAAACAAGGAAAAAGTTATGGCCAAATTAAGACTCAAAAATACCCCATAGTGGCTGAAAAAAGCCACAACAGCACATAAGGGTTAACAACTGCATAGTAAAAACAGTAGCATACACAACAACAGCACCATAATCTCCTGGAAAGACTTGTTCTGAGTGTATACTTCACAGTTATTTCCTTGTTCTTATGTTTTCTGTGCATGTTTGTGATTTGTTGAATGAATGAATCTGCTGTATTGAAATGAAGATAACCAGATGTGTGTGTTTTATTCTCAGTCTCTACTGTAAAGTGTCCTCCTGATGGATCTCAGAAGACCAAATATCAGGTGAGATATTGATACACCATAAGCAGAGATGAAACAAAGTAGACAGCTGCAAAATATCATGTTCTTTCTTTAGTGTTTGTGTCTTGTTTTCCAGCAGAAATTATAAACTAAGATTATTCTCAAATCAAGATATACATTTACTGGAGAAGATGACTGAGATATTAAATCTTGTTTCTAACGGATTAAAAAAAGAACCCTCTCTGTAAATAACTGTTGTATGTTTCCAGGCAACTGTTTATTTATAGCTTTATAAATTATTTGAGCGGTCCTAAATTTAACGAGATCATTAAACTTTAGAATGTGCAATTTTAAATAAAGTAAATTAGTAGGCTCATGATATCCTACCTTATTAACTAACCATCTTTTTTGTATTGTGCTTATTGTTAGTAAGGTGGTTTTGTAGGTGTTGACACAATAATTCCAATAAGGTCTTCAACACAATAATTTAAATAAGGCAATACAAGATAAAAAGTGCTTTTTTAATCAAAACGTGCCTTGCTTTCCCCATTACTCCAATACTCTGCGCTACTTTTGTTTTGACATATTTAATATGGGGTTTCCAACAAATTTTATGGTCAAGAATCACACCCAAAAATGTATCTTCAGTAAATGTTGATATTAATATTAACTAAGAATAATACATATTGTTCATTCTTAGTTCATGTTAACTTGGGTAGGTAGTCAACTTATGTTAACTGATGAACCTTTATCCATAAGTGATACCACCTTACCAAAGTGTTACCCATAATTGTAATATGTAGTAATATGTAAAAATGATTCACCAATATTTAAGATGATGAATGTGAGTATTAAGCATCATTTCATTCGATGCTTTATTTGAGACAGTTTTTGAGTTGTGACTTTATTAATGTTTCCTAAACACAGCCGCTAAAGTCTCTGGACTCTGGATCTCCTGACTCCATCTCTACTCATGATGTCAAAGGATGATAAACAGAGACTCTTCCTCTGCTTCTCCGTTCTTTACACGTTTACTGCACCTTCATCGCCTCATTTTGCTGCTACATGTTGTTGTTGTTGTTGTATTATAGTTTTGTTCTAAATCTAAAGTGTTATTTAAAATCATATTTTGCATCACATGCATATGTTACTTACATTCTTGTTATAAAAAGCAATCTGTCTTTTTGAAATCTGTGTTAAAAAAAAATGTGCACATGCACATGATACACACTTTATTGTGTGTAATGCACACACACCCCACACTACTGAACCTACACATGTGACATGACTCTACAAATTCTACAAACTCTATAGATCGCGTGATAAACACAATGTGTGCTATAGAACCGTGAGCACAGGGTTGTTACACACACATCATAGACCCTCAGTTACACTTCTAAAGTTTCTCAGAAGCAGAAGTCGTCATAGTTGGGTAAACTTCTCTCTATATATTTTTGAGTTCCAATTTGCTCAACTCCACAACTTTCTGAAAAGTGTTTTCACAAATTTCAGAATTAGAAAAAAGAAGAAGATGAGAGAATTGATAAAGCCAGTCGGAGGAAAGAAATACCCTCTCAACGTTAACTAGTTTCTGCTAATTTCATGCCAAATGTAATATAATTCAAATAGTTTTATACACACATGTTTAGAAAATGAAAGGGATTTACGATGCTGATGACCGTTAAACTGCTAAAATGTTCTGTTTCCACACAGTTGCATTAAAAATGCAGTTATTGAAATAAAATCTGTGAAACAATGATCAGACGTGTCTCTTTATTGATGTGACATTCTGACCTTCAACACAACAGAGGATTTACAGTGAAAATGAAAGTGAGTTTGAGTAGAAAGGTCGAAACACTTTATAATGTTGATCAGAACTACAGAAATCTGAGCCGGAATAAACAGACCCTCATATAAAGTTATGTTATTATGAATGTTCATATCTCTGATCCTAGAGCTAATTCTCTTATAGCGGATATCAACGGTGTGAGGGCTGATCTGTAATCAGTGTTCATCTTAATCTGTGTCCATCTAATCCTTTTCACTCCAAATTCACTACAGAAATATATCAGTCAATGATCAGCAACAACAACAAAACATAGCCTACTGATTTTTATTAGAAAGCCTGCGGTTTTGACCACACAATAATTCATCTAGAATAGTTTACACACAATACGTGATCACTGATAAAGTAAAAGAAGAAAAGATAAAGAGACAGGGAAGAATATAATCACAGGTTACACAAGTAACTTCACTAGACAAAACCGTTGAAACGGACACACACACTTTGAGGTGTAAGTAAAGGAATGAACTGTCCTTGTGAACAGACTGTAACTTGAGAAGACATGCAGGTTTATGACTGTCCACCTAAGCTTTTATCTGCCAAAACTGGTAATGAAATTCCCCTCATAAGTGCAGTATTTCTGCTCTAAAAGCAAGACAAGTGTGTATTGCAATGTTTTGCATATCATTTATGTTTATATTATTGATGTTTGATACAAACATTGACGTTTGGGTTAGAATGAAACTGTATTAAAAAAATCTCTAAAACGTTTCATTAATTATTGCAAGCCAAAAGGATAAATACAACACTTAAAATGCTGCTAATAACACACACACATACACACTAAAACGCTTGTTTGAGGTTTTTTTCATGTTGCACTCGCTCTTTTGATGGCCAAAGATGAGTCAGAGAGAAAAGTAACACTTTAGTGGGCATTACACAAACACACTCCTATCTGCTATCTGACATGAGCTCTCTGGTGATATTGAGAGATTATACTGGGTTGGTCAGGGCAATCTGGATATCCTTTGGAAGTGAAACAAACTGATTGACCAGGCTGGCCAATGCAATTGACACAGCTTTCACTACATCACTCACAGCTGATTTGTGCACTCCTATATTGTTACCAACAACTTGGTAGACTCCTTCGGGGTCTCCGTTGATATTTTGGCCTGACAAGGTCTGCAATGTACTTAAAATCAGCATTCCCAAAGCGAACACGAGCATACAGTTCTTCAGTGGTCGTGCACGCTCAACATACACCCTTTGACAGTCAAACCCTTTCCACCAAAACGGTGGACAATACCTGCCATGTAAGATATACCTGAATATAAGATGAATATATGGCTGTCAAATAACCACACACCAATTGTCTGACGTGCTGTGGCTTGTTAGGATTAGGGTTAGTATTAGTGTTAGAGTTAGGATCAATAGGAAGCTCTGTTGTGGGTGGAATAGTGACCAACAAAAGGAAGAAAGACAATTCACATTTGGCTAAGCCACGCCCTAGAATGTAGATTGACCAATCACAGCCCAGGCAAGAACGAGCTCCCACAGAGGTCCGACACTTTTTCACAGCGCTCCATTGACTTTCAACACAGGCGTCTCATATATTTGGTCTCGGCAGGCTATTACCGTCGTAGTTTTATCCAAAATATGGTTAAACGTTGTGCCTCGGACATTTGTAACACAGATACGCGTTTCCCAGAGAGGTTATTGTTAGTCCCAGCCTCTGTCTCCATTAGTAGGAAATGCGGTGGTTCATTTTTTGACTGTGACCGCTAACGTTATGCTTGTGCCTCTATTTTGGATGCCTTGTTGTTTCACCTGTATGTCTTGAATTCGAACGCATATTGCAGCGCCTTTTGCCTACTTCTATCGGACACTTTATTTGCTGCTTTATAAAAGTTTGATAACATTTTAGCAGGATGAGCTGACACAGCATAAGCCATGTTGATACCAAACCAGAGCCCAGATGAAGTTTGATGGAAGTAGCAACAGTAACTAAAGGGGGCGTGGCTTAGCCAAAGGTGAATTGGGTTAAAATCACCCAGAATGTGAATGCAATGGGGTCTGGCCAGAAGAGGACTTGGAGTAAATGAAATTTAGATGGAAGAATGTGAGGGTCAGAGAAACAAAGGACCTTGCTGAAGCAAACAAGCAACAAATTCACCAAAGAAAGGTGAATATGTGGTTCTGGACATTATTGGAGGGGAGAACTCTACGATTTAAGGTACACTCTAAAAAATGCTGGGTTGTTTTAACCCAATTTTGGGTCAAATATGGACAAACCCAAAATGTTGGGTTAAAAATGTAATGTAAAAATTTAACCCAACGGCTGGGTTAGTCCATATTTGACCCAAAGTTGGGTTAAAACAACCCAGCATTTTTTAGAGTGTATGTAGGGGATGGTGAGCCTACGACTGTAGAGGAAAGTAAGCCGTTCCTCCTAATGACGAGGAAACATTCATTCTGGATCTCAGCTCTATTATTGAAGAACAGCCTGGATCCTCACTGGTAGAGCCAGCAGGCACAGGAGCTCAGAAAAGAGGCTTGAAGCGTCCATGACGAATAATAATGATGATGCTGACCAAACCAAAGCAAAACTTTAGATCCGCCTCCTAAAGCAGGGCTTGGAAATGCTGGTCTCTCCTCCTCATGAAGAAGAACCCTGAACACTCTTTATTTTGGACACTATTGGACATTTAGCCATTTTTTAAAGATGTTTTCAAAATACAATGTATTTGTTTTTTATGATGAGGGGGTCATCAAAGAAATTTGGAATGGAAGTGGATGCTTATGTTATTTTTGTGTTTCATCTCAAAATAAAAGAAACACTTCAGTGACCCCATGTTGGCTTTTCTACCTGTTTTGTACATAGCTGGCCCACATTGTGATATGTTGTGCCATTTAGAGCACTGGTAATCTGGATTAGGGTTACCAGCTATACCAGTTAAACTGTGTATCTGGATCAGGGTGATCCAGTCCAACGGTGCTTTGAAAAACCAGCATAAAAACTAGTAAGACGGATTTCCAAATTTCCTCTAACTGTTTTGAACAACTGGGCCCAGCATGTGTCTCTCGTCTTAAAACTGGCATGTATGAGCTCAGAAAAAAACTCAACAAATGTCCTGTACAGAAGAAGAGAATATCTGGCATATTCAGATATTATGAAATCACACATCTGAGCTCTTACTGTACAAACACATGAAGAGGAGAAGTGAGTGAGGTTTAGAGACACACAGTTCTGTGGATCAGTGTCTCCATCTACTGGACATATTCAGTATTACATCAACATATCTTCTACATCATATCACACTTTACAGAGATGTTTGCTTTACAGTTTATTTCACTGCATCTTTTCCATGTAGTGAGATCCTGCAGTAACTTTACATGATCATCAGCCTCAATATTGGAATGAAATTAAAACATTACTAAAAATGTCTAGAAAATTTTATCTAGAGACATTACTAAAATATTTACTATTAGCACTGATAAAAAGATGAGGTGTGGTTTAATTATCAGAGACATTTTTTTTGGACAGAGAGAGAGAGACATATATAAAATAGATAAAATAGATATATTTGCATAGATAAAATCATATAAAAAGTCAATGAACGCTTTTACTGGTTAACATTCCTCTAGCATCATTTGTGAATCATTTATGTTATGCAAAACAAAAATGTAAGTTTGCGATTTAAATGGCTAGTTTGTGAGTGAATAAAAAAATAAAAACTCCTAGGAAAATGGTCAGGTTATAATTATCCCCTAAATCAAAATAAATAAATAAATCATGAAAAGATCATTATTTTGCATTATAAAATGAAATGATGATGATTATTTTTTTTTTTGCATTGTGACATTTTTTGAACATGCATAAAAATCCACATATATATATATATATATATATATATATATATATATATATATATATACACACACACACACACGTGTCTGTCTGTGTGTCTGTGGCCTCGTTGCTGGTTTTGTTCACAGCTTATTAATGAAGACATTGAAAGAAAAAGAAAATCCATCTGGGAAAATAAATGAAAAAATAAGAATACTTGCAGCACTAACACCGCCGACCAAGTGATTGTCCCTGTTGTGCTCCATTAATAGTAAATTACTGGTATTTTTACATTATAATATAATGATATGCTTTTGAAGTCATATTTGAGAGTGGTGGTTCAGGAGACATATTCTTTATGCAGAAAGATCACATCAGTGACCGTCTTGTAGGTTATTATGAGGTTACACACTCATGTACAGGAGCGCCACAAAACATTGATATGGTATGAGCTTTTGTATACCAGTTTACAGGAGTGGCACTGGACACATATTTCATCTGGTATGATCTTACGCACTAGTGTGCAATAAGAACATTTTAAAGACTCTGGATATTGGTATTAAGTTCAATACAATTGTCTTCAATTCAGTTTCAAAGCTGGCAGATGAGAGTGAGACCAAACACAGTTACAAGAAAAATATCCTCATCGTGTTTGTATTTAATATGTTTTAACAGCTATTCAGTGAAGTTTCAACAGCAAAACAGTTATGAAACTCAAATTAGCAGACTGAGACAGTAGTTTATGCATTTAATCATGGTTTTAGTGTGGTTTGTGTTCATTTGTTTCTCAACCGATATTACAAAACATGATCAAACTTTTAATTTAGTTCACACAAAACTCTTCATGTTTAACTCATTTCTTATAATCGAGTGTGCTGAGAAAGCTGAGTGATTTAATTTTAAAAGACAGGAGTTCAATAAAGATCAATAAAGAATTAGGCTAGATGGTTTCAGATCTGTTTTCAGTCTCAACATCAACCAAAATAAAACTTTTTTGATAGTATTCTATAAGGGGAGCCTTGTTATCATTTACTAAACTAATTCCTGATCTCAGGCTATTTATAACTTTTCTTTCACTATATCGCAGTGTGTTCGCAGCACGTCAGAGAGCCAGGAAAACGTTTCTGTTCTTGTCATGCTCCTGGAATGATCTGCAAAATATACTCAAAATAGAGATATTGCAAAGCTCTGAGTACTCTTAAATGTCTTTTACTAAATGGTTTAAAGGCACCTTGTAAGTGTTTATCTTGATCTACTTACGAGTGTTATCTTTGTGTGCTGCCGTCTAGACCAGAAGAGAGTAGACCGTATATATCTATGGTTTTTACCAGGTTAAATAAAGGAAAGAATAAACACAATGTACTGCTTCTTTAATTCCATGGAAAGGGCGTGAAAGCCCCGGGACACAAGAATAATCCCCGATCGCCACAACACAGTCTCATGAAAGTGTGTATCGGCTATCTAGACCTCGAATGTTTGCTTGCATACGCACTGGAAACCCCTTGGGTGGATTGAGGGGGGGGGAGTGTGTGTGTGTTACATGGCTCATGTAACACGCACACAAGTTATTTTTGCCCTAAATACTTTTGGTGTTTAAATAGCACAAGAACATCGGGCTAAATGTGGAGGAGATGTGTATGCGAGAGTATGGGCATGGTTCAACTATTAAAATAGACAGTGGCGGATTTAGCAAATTTAGCAAAAAAATTTGAAAATGTGTGTGTGTGTGTGTGTGTGTGTGTGTGTGTGTGTGTGTGTGTGTGTGTGTGTGTGTGTGTGTGTGTGTGTGTGTGTGTGTGTGTGGCATTGGGTTACAGCGGCCAGCCGGCCACAAAACATCACTTATGAGTTTGTTTTATAAATGTTCAAAGGCAATAAATAGGATATTAGGATTTATTCAATTTAACGTTTATTAATATGCATATAGACTTATAAGTTATCAATAGGAATCTAAAATGTAATTTTTAGAAGAATATGGTTCTAAATTGAGGTTATTATTAATCATTAAATAGATCATGTTGGTATGTACTTCTCTAAGACAATGACATTTGTGGGGGGAAAAAAAACAAACAAAACCAATAATAAAAGCATTGAGAAACTCAACCTCTGCCAAAAGAGGCGTGAGCTTCTGCATATCACGTCATGAAGACCTATAAAGTCAGATCCACAGCCAGTGAAGTGTGGTGGACTATATTATCCTGACATGATAAATATCACACATCTCAACGTCAGAGTCGCAGTGAGCAGGACATTCTCTCTTTCAGATCATCTCAAGGTAATTCAACACATCCATCTTTTTTGTAAAGAGTATTTGTATAAATCCTGAGCAGTGATGTTAGAGTAGTACGGTAGAGTTACAGTGAAACTGAAAGATAAATCTGTACTGTATAAAAATGATCACAAACATATTTAACATTTCCCTCAGATTCAATATTGGAAATTATTTGAAAAAAATAAATAAATAAATTAAATGCATGGCAGGATTATACCGGACCATCACAAACTGCAAAAGAAAGACAAAACAAGAAAGAAGAGAAAAATGTCAAGCAGAAAGGACATGAGACAACCTGATCAAGCAAAAACTAAAATAACACATGTGAGACGGCAAAGCATTGACAGTGGCAAACCCAATTGTGAGTATGTATGAAAATATAAATGGTTGTTTCTTATTCTGTCTGAGTATATAAAAGTTAATTCAAATTAATTTAATTAATCAGTGTTTGTCTTTCTCAGTTTCTAATGATGAGGACAGTTTTGAGGTGAGAGATGATCTATACGAAATAGAAACTGTAAATATTCAACGCATTCTCATCCCAAGGCATCATATACGACGCTTTTGCCACATCCAACGCACATGGCACCCTATTGGGCGTCAACATCGGTTATGGGTAGGTTTAGGTTTGGTGTAGTGTTCGGGATAGACCACTAGGAGGCACCTTCTAGCCCATATATATCTGCGTCTCATATTGATGCTAAAGGGTGCCATGTGCGTTGGATGTAGACGCAATGTCAAAAGCGTCAGTATATGGGATGAGAATGCGTTGAAATCTCATGTTTTTTCTTTTTAGAGCACAGCAGATCATCTCATCAAACTAGCAAAATATAGTGTGCACGAAGATGTGGAAAAAAATAGGCATAAATCTAGCTTACCAATTTTTCAGGCTAATTGTTGTAATTAAGGATCAGACCAGTTTGCCCAATAGTGGCAAGACATATAAGAACATCTGACAAATTGGTTTGTCCTTCAAGAACCAGGAAAAGAAAATCGGAATCACCTTTACCATAATGTAAGTACATTAAAAACCTTAGTCTTCAACTTAAGTTGAGCTTGCTCATATTTTTTTTCTTTTGCACAGTGAGATGGAGTATGTCTTGGGACAAATAATAAGACGCCGGAGGGAGAGGTTATACAGGCCCAGACAGACCTATCTCTCCCTCGGTGAGGAGGAATGCATACACAAGTTAAGCCTGACCCGCCAGGCTGTGACAGACATCTGCCATCTCCTGGCAGATGAGCTGGGGACTGATGCACCCTGTCCCTATGCCTTCCCCGTTGCAGTAAAGGTTACAGCGGCATTGTATTTCTATGCATCAGGATATGATGCATCAGGATCCACGAACCTGTGTCGCGGTGTGAAGTGTGGCGCATGCGCGAGCGGCGACACGGTCTCTTGCGCGTCTGTTAGCAGCGTTTTGTTTGTCTGTTTTTAGTAATTGTTTTCACAATCCATCAAAATCGACGACTAAAGTAAATTTTCCTTAGACAGATGAATGTTAAGGGCTCAGAATGAAGCCGAATTTAGTTATTTTGTTGGTGATTCTGATTACTTACGCCGCCGGTTACAATCACTACAGGCATAGTGGACAGGAAGCCCGAATCACCTACACACGAGACTTTCTGATCAATTTTAAATCCCCTGCAATACTTTATCCCTACGACACATCGCTGTTACCACTGGAATGTGTCAGGGGTAATAACAATGTCAAAGCAAGGAAACGTGGCAGGAAAGGAGGAATCAGGGAACGGTTGAGAAGACAGCCCTACAGACAATCACTTCCATCTGTTATGTTCGGCAACGTCCAAAGCCTAAGGAATAAAGCAGATGAGTTGCGGGCCTGTTCACAGTACCTCACCGAATACCGGCAATCCTGTCTCATCTGTCTGACTGAAAGCTGGCTCACGGAGGCGGACCCTGACTCATCGGTCGATTTAGAGGGCTACACGCTGGTGAGGATGGACCGTAACCAGAACTCCGGGAAAAGGAAAGGTGGAGGTGTGTGCGTTTTTATTAACAATGCATACTGTAACCCTGGTCATATTACAATGAAGTATAATATTTGTACGAAGGATATTGAACTGTTAGCGCTTTCCCTAAGGCCTTACCACCTGCCTCGGGAGATACACCAAATTAGACTGTTTGTTGTGTATATTGCACCCTCCGCTGATACACTGGCCGCTGCCACCCTGATTCATGACTTTGTAACTAAAGCGGAGGAAGATACCCCTGACGCAGCTAATTTTGTGTTGGGTGATTTCAACTCATGCAGTTTAAAGGAATATTTACCCTCGTACCAACAATATGTCACCTGTCCTACGCGAAATAAAGCTTGCCTCGACCATTGTTATGGAAACATCCAGGACGCGTTTTATTCTAAGGCATTGCCCGGTTTGGGGAACTCGGACCATAACATGATTAAACTGATGCCTACATATGTGTCCCGACTACGGCGTGAGAGAACAAAAAAGGTGGAGGTTAAATGCTGGACTGCTGCTGCGACTGAGACACTTCAGGATTGCCTGGAGTGCACCGATTGGAATGTAGTGACAGATGGGACTGATAACGTCAATGACGCAGTGTTTGCTATCTCTGGTTATGTACAATTCTGTGAGGACACAATCATCCCCACAAAGACAATTACGATCTTCCCAAACAACAAGCCCTGGGTTACCCCAGAGTTAAAGCAACTCCTTAATGAGAAAAAGCGTGTGTTTAAATTAGGTGGAAGTAGAGAAGAAAAAAAGATAGTACAGAAAAAGATTAAAAGTAAGATCTATGAATGTAAAGCAGCATATAAACACAAGTTAGAAACTTTTTTTAAAAATGATGCTAGGAGAGCTTGGCAGGGAGTCCAATCTATCACAGGATATAAGCCCAAGAAGCACCCGATGGTAGTAGAGAACAATTTTAATATGGCAAATCAATTGAATGATTTTTATTGTAGATTTGATAAATATGATTTTAAAGTTGAACAGAGTGAGGCCATCACAGCAGTGAAAGAGATGAAGGGTACGGGCATTCACATCTCTATTAATGAGGTTAAATCACATTTTAGACGTATAAACTCCCGTAAAGCCTGTGGTCCTGATGGTATCAGCTGCAGGACACTAAAGGTGTGTGCTGACCAGTTGGCACAGCCCTTCCAAAGGCTGTTCCGGCTGTCAATAGATACAGGTGTCATTCCCAGCCTATGGAAACAATCCCTAATAGTGCCTGTGCCCAAAAACAATAGACCTAAAGAACTTAATGATTTGCGCCCTGTTGCTCTTACCTCTGCAGTTATGAAATGTTTTGAGAAAATAATTTTAAAACAACTTATTCATGAGGTTTCACCTCTTTTAGATCCGAATCAATTTGCCTATCGTGCAGAGAGAGGTGTTGAGGATGCACTGCTATCTTTGATTAACAGCACTCATGAGCATCTTGAGCATACTCAGAGCCTGGTCAAGATTGTGTTCATTGACTTCAGTAGTGCTTTTAATACGATCCAACCCCACCTGTTGGTGAGAAAATTAGTGCACCTAGGAGTAAATCCACAATTGATTTTATGGATCTATGACTTCTTGACTGAGCGTAGTCAGCAAGTCAGATTCAATTCATGTATATCTTCCTTAAAAACGACAAACACAGGTGCACCACAAGGGTGCGTTCTGTCGCCTATTTTATACTCACTATACACCAATGATTGTCAAGCTACCTCTTCATCCTACACTTATTTTAAATATGCTGATGACATAGCATTGGTTGGCTTTTTAAAATCAGACAATTCTTCTGTGAGCGGATTTCAGAGGGAATTGCAGGGCTTCACTCATTGGTGTTCTGAGAACTTCCTCGAAATCAATGTGAAGAAAACAAAAGAGATGGTCATAAATTTTAGTAAAAACAAAATAACAGTTCCCTCCTCTGAGATCAATGGTGAATTGGTGGAGAGAGTCGCAACATATAAATACTTGGGAGTTGAAATTGATTCGAAATTAACTTTTAATGAATGTGCACTGAAAAAAACTAAGAAAATGCACCAAAGGATGTATTTCCTAAGAAAATTATATAATTTTAGACTAGAAAGACACATTCTTGTTATGTTTTATAAAAGTTTCCTCCAGAGTGTTCTGTCCTTTGGCCTTATCTGTGTGTTTGGTAACATGCATGTTAAAGATCAAGGGAAACTGCAGCGCATGATTAAGATGGCCAGCAGGATCATTGGAATTGACCAGGTGTCGGTAGCTGAACTGTATAATGAACTTATCTTAAAAAAAACTGATCAGATCCTCAAGGATCCTGCTCACCCTCTTCATTATAAATTTATGAGAAGTAATAGGTCAACTGGTAGAATTATACAACAGAGAATTAGAACAGAGAGGTACAATAAATCATTTGTACCTACATCAATCAGATTGTATAATGATCAAGTACATCGCAAGTTGTTATAGTTTTAGCTTTAAATGTTGGATTGTGATTGTCAAATCCACAGTATTGTTATTCTTTTTGTGTTTCTCTTTTAATGTTTTGTTTTTAGAAGGTTTGTTGTGATAACAGCGCGTAATGACTACATGAATTTCCCCTTGTGGGATAATAAAGTTTACCTTGACCTTGACCTTGGCATCTGGGTCGTTCCAGCACCCCCTTAGCTCCATTGGAGGCATTTCACAATCAGGCATAAGTTCGGCTATACATGCAGTTACATCAGGTAGACTGCACCCATGTGCAGCTACGTGCCCCATCAGAAAACGCACTTGTATACATCAACCGCAAGGGAACCTATTCAATCAACGTACAAGTCATTTGCGATGCTTACAGTAAAATCACCCATGTCTTTGCAAATTATCCTGGCTCGAGCCATGACTCATTCATACTGGCGAACTCTGCCATTCCTGCCATCTTCGAGGGAATCCCCCGTCGGATGGGTGGCTGTTAGGGGACAACGGGTATCCATTAAAGACATGCCTGATGACACCATTTTTGATGCCAGAAACAATTCGTCAAATCCAGTTTAATCGAAAACACACACAAACACGCTGTGTAATTGAACGAACACTCGGGACACTGAAAATGCGCTTCAGGTGTTTGGATAGATCAGGAGGCACTTTACAGTACAGTCCTCAAAAAGTCGCAGCATTCTTTGTGGCGTGTTGTGTTTTACACAACATTTCCATAAATCAAGGTTGTGTTGTTGACATAGATGAGGAAATATTAGAGGACTAAAGGAGACGTGATGGTGAACTGCATGTGCCGATGCCACTTAACCCAAATGCCCCTGCAGCAGCACGGGAGAGGAGAGCTTATTTGGCAGAAGAGCTGCTGCATCGTCTATAGTGAGGTAAGCAAAGTTATCTCGGTCTAATGTTACTTACATTGAAAAAATATAACCATACTCGTGATTCAGAGAGAACGAGTCGAAAACATTCAAAAGTATTTATTAGTGACATTTCTTTATATTTTGTCAAAAAGAAAAAAACTATTTCAAACAGTAATTGATAAAAAAAAATACAAATAGAAAATGAGGTTAAAAATATTTACACAGAAAAACTTTATTTCTTTTTCCCTCCTCTGCTAGTTTTGCGACGCACGCCACGGCGGGATTGGGCACCTGATGGTCCAAGAATGGCATTGTGCGATGTGCGCCTGGTGGAACGGGTGGACGGAGATGGAGTGGGGGAAGGAGGAGGAGGCACAACTGGAGGTGGTGAAGGGCCACGCTCCATGGCTGCAGCAATCCTCTCCAGGCTTGAGGAGATGCGCCCGAGAGGCCGCAGCAACATCGCCATCCGGTCAAGGCATGGCATTCACACTTCGCCGCATCCCAGACAGCTCCCGCTCCAGCATTTCAAATCCAGTTTGCTGGAGCTGCAGGAACTGGTGGTCCTCCGGTCTAGCGATGATGCCACGGCGTGTAGTGGGTCTGGACCTTGACGGTTGCGCCGTTCCATCCTCAGATGGCCCGTGCGGCTCGCGAGGCCAGGGCCTTTCAGATCATTAAAATAGGGCCCTAAGACTCCATGTGAATAGCCATATTTAAATATTAAAACAATATATGTATATTCACATTTTATTCCTTTCATTTCTGTCCTCTATTTCCTCTATTTACTGTTTTTTTTTATGCACTTGTCACGTTTTGGTCTCCTTAAAGGGTTAGTTCACCCAAAAATGAAAATTAAGTCATTAATTACTCACCCCCATGCTGCACCAACCCCATAAGACCTTCGTTCTAGCCTGGCATGCCAGACCTACATCAGGATGTTAGGTCTGGAAACTCTTCATTGACAGGGCTCAATCCGAGGGGTGGGATAAACGGTTGTCTTTCAAATTCTCTCTGCACGCAATTGGATAGCGCTAAAGCCAATCAGAGCAACGAAGAAGGTGACGTACTAAGCGGAGCAAGTTGATATATTAAACTTTTACCGCATCCACTCCAGCTGTCAACATTGAACATTGAAAATATGAGAGATTTTGTTTTTTATCAGTCCTCCATAGACTGCCTAAGGGACTGGCTCTTGACGGCCCATAAAGTCATTAAAGAAAAGGTTTAAATATTCCATGTGCCTACAGCGGCTCAATTATAAGTTTATCAAGCGACGAGACTACTTTTTGTGCGAAAAAAACATAAATAACGGCTTAATTCCACTATTCTATTACTTCCTTATGGGCGCATGCGCGAGAACTGAGACGAGGACGTTCTCATTCGTCTCCTTCTTGTTACCAGCTGCTCACCGCTTAGGAGTATTACTGCCCCCTACCGTATAAAATGATGATCCATATATAAGGCGCTCCGGATTATAAGGAACACTGTCGTTTTTTTAGAAGATTAAAGGCTTTTAAGTGCACCTTATAGTGCGGAAAATACGCAAATTGAAAAGCGTATGTACAGCGCGCATCTTCCTCTGCTTGTAAACAGAAAGTTTTGCGCTCCTAAGCGGTGAGCAGCCGGTAACAAGAAGGAGATCGTCCTCGTCTCAGTTCTCGCGCATGCGCCCATAAGAAAGTGAATAGTCGAATAAAGCCGTTATTTATGTTTTTTTCGCACAAAAAGTAGTCTCATCGCTTGATAAACTTATAATTGAGCCGCTGTAGTCACATGGAATATTTAAACCTTTTCTTTAATGACTTTATGGGCCGTCAAGAGGCAGTCCCTTAGGCAGTCTATGTAGGACTGATCCAGCTCTCAGATTCAATCAAAAATATCTTTATTTGTGTTCCGAAGATGAACGACGGTCTTACGGGGTTGGTACAGCATGGGGGTGAGTAATTAATGACTTAATTTTCATTTTTGGGTGAACTAACCCTTTAAGATATATACCGGTCTGTATAGGATCAATGACACAGTAATCATGGTTTTCACCGATATACTGCTGCAATGTGATTATGATTGTTTATAGAATCATTCTAGAATTATTGTACTGCCCTTGTGAGAAGAGGTATTTGGGTTTTGAGTTTCTTGTGTTTTGTCCACTCAGAGTTTCCGTAGCTCAGTTGTTCTCATAACTTTCTCCCTGCAAGTCGATCTCCAGAGTGTTAAAGTTTCTAAACTGTCATTTTGGTCTCTGACGAATATCTGTCT